TGACAGCTTTTAATCACTGAATTAATACAAAAGGCCAAGGTTGACCGTCAGTTATACCCATACTGTGCCACTGGCTTCCAGGAGCGTGAGTGGATGAAACTGACAGCACAACCAGGCCCACAGATATTTAACCCAAGAGTTTCCACAGTAGTGATAGATCATGCAGCGTACATGGGTGAAAAACACAGTGTGAAATTACTTTTGAATTCACACTCCCTTTATCATGCTGATCTTTTACTTGGTGGGGTTTTTTTTTTTTTTTAAATAAGAAAAAAGGTGCCGGTACTCCAGGGCAAAGTTGTTGATCAAAAAAAAAAAAAGCAAGCCATGCTGGGGGCTGAAATGTGGCTGCAGCCCCTTTAAGAACCACATCTCCACGCTGGGAGCCAGAAAAAAAAAACACCATGTGTCCCGAGCAGGCTTCCATCTGCACCAGGTGCTGGTACGCACGGAGGAAATGCCATATTGTGTGTGAGTGTGAGTGAGTGAGAGAGAGAGAGTGTGTGTAATAGGTGATGGTACGCCGTTCCGGGTCGTACCATCACAAAAAAAATCACTTCTTGTACTTGACTAGGACAACACTGCTCATTTTCAGAAAGCCAGCCCTGAATCTGGGACAGCTGAACAATATAACCAAGTCCATTATGCACCCCTGTGCATCTTCGCGGTGGTTTGAAGGTTTGATTATGATTATCAGAAAAATTCTACATCTATCAGACATTCTACTTTCTTGGAATGCCTCTGTGCAGGATACCCTACAGTACTGATCAAGATGTGAAACTGAGAAAACCAAGAGCAGAGTTTTTTTTCCCCCTGAAATATTCCATAATATATATCCATCTCTTGCTTACAAAAAGCCAGGCTGAAACAGTATTTCAAGGACTTTTAGTTACTGAATACAAGGGTCTTCCTTTTCAAATTGTTTCATATATATAGCATTAATCAAAGACCATTAAAGGCCATGAAAAACTCCCACTGAAATTTTACTTCAGTGAGGTTTCAATGAGTGCTGATCTTGCAAACACTTACACATGTGTGTTCAATTTTAAGATATAAGTAGATCCCACTGAAATCAGTTATGCACCTGCATAAGTATTCGCAGAAGTGGGCTTTAGTTTGGTGAAAATTTTTGCAGCCATAGCTAAATTTTGAGGAAAAAAAGTCAACATCTCCCATAATAGAAGAACTAGAGGACACCAAATGAAATTAATGGTTATCAGGTTTAAAACTAATCAAATAAAGTTCTTCTTCATACAGCGTGTAGTCAACCTGTGGAACTCCTTGCCAGAGGAGGCTGTGAAGGCTAGGAATATAACAGAGTTTAAAGAGAAGCTAGATAATTTCATGTAGGTTAGTTCTATAAAAGGCCAGGGGATAGAAATGGTGTCCCTGGCCTTTGTTTGTCAGAGGCTGGAGAAGGATGGCAGGAGACAAATCGCTTGATCATGGTCTTCGGTCCACCCTTTCTGGGGCACCTGGTATTGGCCACTGTCGGTAGACAGGATACTGGGCTAGATAGACCTTTGGTCTGACCCAGTATGGCCGTTCTTATGTTCTTATTTTACCTGGGAAATTAAAAACTACACTGATGTCCATGTATGCATTATTTTCAACATTAGAATCTATCATAAGTGAAGTTTTACTGCAATTTTTAGTTTAATCGGCAAGTTGATTAAAAGGTTTTTATAACGCTTCTTGTATCTTAACCTATCAAACTCTTGACTCCAAAGACAACACTACTTAAAAACTATGTACTGTATTTAATACAGGAAGTCTCAATCATTTCTGTAATTTACGTAAAACTTTAAGGTAATGATACATATTTTAGTTTAGTTTAGAATATTTTGTATTAAAAGTGCATTACCAGCAGATGGAGCAATCTACATTTTAGAAAACAGGGAACATGACTCTGTTTTTAGGGATGTTAAAATCTATTTACAAAAAAATTAAATGTGCTTGTTTTAAAACTAAAAAGCCAATGTTCTAAAGGCATCTCAAAATTAAGATTTATTAATGGAAAACAACAGAACATAGATTATTTTCTGGAGTTCATCTGTGCCAATAATGCACTGCTATGATTGTTGCGGTGAGCAAAGAAAGAACAACATGAAGAGATTCCTCAGAACATTTCATATTTAATCATTAACTTTACAACATCATCTTATTAGCAGCTGAAATTAAGATGCAGAAGAGAAGCCAAGGCCTACACATGCAACATAGCAACACTGCTTATTTCAAGGATCCACATTTGATAACATAACCAGAATAAAACTGAGCCAACCATCAGGCAATTTCACATTAAGGTTACCTACATCACCTGATGGCAAAAAAAATGAACCCAGACAAGCATTATAGGCTATGCTATTGTTACTCACTGGACAAATGCACTACTGTTATATCTCAGGAGACCCAAATCCTAGCTTTGTGTCACAATTCCTAGTTCTTGTGTCACATTTCTCTTCATCACAAACTACTCAAGTACAGATGTGACATGGGAGAGGGCGGCATGAGGGGGCATGTGTTCCCAAACGCCATGGGTGGGAGAGGCAAGGGGCCAGCCAGCAGAGTCCCTGGGCATCCCGGAGAAGGAGCGGAAGGACCAGGTGCCTGCAGCAAGTGCCTGACCTTCTTCCTGCTCTCACTGGCAGCAGCGGGGGAAGTCGAGCAACATAGCCCCAGCTCACTCTGCTCTCCCAGCGCATCTCTTGGAGGAGGGGCAGGACTGTCTCTGCATTCACAGTCAGGAAGTGGAGCGTCACGGCTGGAGGAGCTGAGGTCACGTTGCTCCACTTCCTCCACTGCTTCCCATGGCTCCTCATGACTGGAAACGGCGCACCGCAGTCAATGGGAGCCACGAAGTTCCGTGGCTACAGAGCCTTTAGGTAAACCAAGTGGCATAGGCCTGCTAGCGGCTTTCCCAAAGCGGTTCCACAGCCCACTGAGAAACACTGGTGTAGCCAATTGGTTACACAGCTAGTTCCATTTTTACATCCCTAATCTCATGCTGACCCGAGTTACCTTAATGCAGTGAAACTTGTCATAAGTACAGTATCTACCCACAGGAGTAGCAAGTATCAATGTCTAACCGAGGAAGATTCTCACTGCAGAGCAAACAAAACTGTATTGAAAACCTTAACCTACTTCAACGCACTTACTTAGGACAACTGCATTTGCCTCTCGCTGGAAGTGATCATTAATAAGTGTGTCGCTGTTCTGTATTTCATTAACTGCAAAACAAACTCTTACTCAGTTCAGAATCTAAAATGTACCTGCTGCCCCAAATATCTTTTCCCCCATACAGGGTTTTCCACTGTGGTGTGGGGGGAGAGTTCAGCTATGTAAATCAGAGCTTCCCCCTTCCAACCATTCATGAGCCATACTAAAACATCAAAGAAGAATTAATTATGAAGCATCCAGAGTACTGACCAAATCACAAAGTACTATCATAAAGCATTACACATACTAGAGCAGTGTTTTTTGAGACCGTGGAACAGCAAACAATTTATTTTTATGCAGAACACCAAGGTTTTTCGTTGAGAGAAAAAAGAAGAGCCAAGGGAAATGCTGTGTATCCCGTCAGCCACCAGGAAAACAAAAATGGAAGAAGAGGTCGTGGTACACCTCCGAATGGAGCGGAACACAGTTTAAGAAACACTGCACTAGAGTGAGTGAAACAGCTTATACAGAACATGTTTTTAGTTTTTCCATGAAGTAACAACGAGCAGTCAAACAACTGACTCGGCCACTTTCTACAGTGTATAATGTCGATGAAGTTAAATCAGTTGCAGTGCCGCTATTAAAGGCTGTCAAAACAACTCATCCTTCAGCACAGCTCCTAGTCAGCTTGCTCTCCATGTTCATCTCCCGTTTATATCCAGCAATAACTATTCAGGTGCCGTGCAGTGTCTGGACCCGATGGCCTGGGATCAGCCTCTTACTGCATGAGGCTGTAATTTAGACCAATTCTCCACAGGACAGTAGGGGTGGCCACTTCAATCCTGGCTGGACAGCACACGATGGGCCCAGGACAATGTGGTCTAGAGGTTAAAAGATGTGACCTCCATCCCAAGCAAGCAAGTCTATAAACTGCTCTCTGCAGTGCCAGGGTGAAAAATGCTGTTTCAAAAGAGCAGGAACAAGCATTTCATCATGTCGCTGAGCTGCCCTAATGCTATACCACTCTGCTCTACTCACTAGTCACTACGACCCACTAATTATGGAACTGATCTGTGAGGAATGGGGTTTGGGGGATTTTGCCAGTCAGAAGTATCGAAGACAATTATCCCAGTGAGATGAAAGTATTTTGCAGGTGTGTCCATGTCACTTCTGAACACTTTGTGAGGACCACACACACACACACACACACACACACACCCACCCCACCTGACTCTCCTGTCACTCCGTTTAAATATGTGCAATCCCATTGGCGTCCATATATCTGTACTTGTGTAAGAGAGAAGTCAGCCTACATGCCTTCAAAACAAAAAACTGAGTACCAAAGGTTTTGATGAGCACACTATCAGAAAGTACTGTATAAGAATGTTAAGAACTGTTCTTATTCACTGAGAGAGAATATCAATGCATTCAATGGGAGATTTGTGTGTTCACTGCCTTTAAAAAAATGGGCTATAAATTGTGCGCCACAGCTAACACAGTGAGTCCACGGCAGAGCCTGGATTAGAATTTGGAGACAAAGTTCTCTCCATTGACCTTACACCAGCAGATGATTTGATTATACACTCTCGGCTCTGTGCCCAATACCCAGGACACTTATTAAAACACATCTGTTCCTGAGAGATTTGCAATCTAGTTCTAAACAAAGAGGTTTGCATAAACTTCAGATAAACATCCAACTTTCTTGGCTGAACTGAACCTTTAGATCCTTGGGCATTATTGGTCATGGGACCCAATAAATAAATAAATAAATAAAATAAATAAATAATGTGAAGGCTAATATTACATTTCAGAGGAAACAAGGAGGGTGTGTTCTAGATACTCACTATGTTCATAAGGGTGAGGAGGTAGTTCTGCACATGTTCTTTGCCGTGAAATCGGACGACGGAGTCGTCAACTCCTAGAAGCACTTCAATGTTGTAGTCATTGTCACCTGCATGTCTGCGTCGTCTCAGCGTTTCATTTACCTGCTGCTCTATGTTGCTGTACATGGAATCCAGACTATCCAGGCTGCTGAGAAGAGACCCTGCAGAGAAACAAACCATTGCTTTATAAGCGTCAGAGGGGTAGCCGTGTTAGTCTGTAAAACGGATGTACACAAATGCCATTTCCTTGGTTAGAATAAGTCCTGAGGAAGGTGAAATTTCCATGTCTGGTAGAGGTGTGCTATTTTTACTGCAGTAGCTTGATCTACCCTAGCATGGGTATGTCTGCATGCTGGAAATTACACCTCCAATTCCAGTGTCTTCTAACTCCCTGGGGAAATGGAGAAGTGTGCAGTGAATCAGTCAAGTGGTGAAAGGTACATGATACATTTCATCTGTCACCTGGTTCTGCAGTTTATCACACAGATCTTACCTCCTCCCACCACCGTGGTATCTGAGTGTGGTGCAAGTAACAGGAGATTTAGACCAAATGCATTTAAAAACTCTATAACTGGTAATATTTTTTCTGAAACAGGAAAGCAACCGATAGCACAGATGACGGGGGTGGGGTGACACAAGGGTTTGGCTGGCATTAGTCCAGGGCCTCTCTCAATTTACTTGTGGCTTCCTCAAAAATCAATCACTCCGTTGTGTATTTCCCTTCCACACGTACAGCCCAACATGCGAGACAGAACTTTCATCCCGCCACAGGAGCAGCATCGAACATCACCTGCCCTGAATTTCAGAGCTGTAAAACAAGAGGATGGGGGAAATAAGGAAGCATTTCTCTGAAAAGCTTGTTGTTTTCTCTTTGAAACTGCCCAAAAGCACAGAGCACCGAACGTGTTTTTGGAAGAGATGGACTAGTGGGCAGAGTTCAGGCAAAGACGACAAACTCATGAGTCTACCATATGGGCAGAACCGCCACATGTGCTGCTACACACATGGAGACAGATTATCAAAAGTGCTCAGCACCCATTAGCACTCCCTGGGAGAACTGTTTCCAGAACACTGAGCTCTTTAGAAAATCCAATCCAGCAAGAGTCCGAAGAAACACACAGAATATGAAGACAGTAAGAGCGCAAGACTTCTATAAATGCTGGGCACACAATACAGTATAAACCAATGGATGACTGGGACATTTCTGATGTTAAAAACATTAATCCTCCTATTTTTGCAGAGAGGTGATATTTGCCAAAGTTGAATGTTTTTAACTCTATTGTTTAAGCCACATACTTGTCTGACAGTTTTCTCAAAGAGAACAAAAGTGTCTACTGGATTTCTGAAGGAAGCCTCAGTCTGAGCCAAGGTTTACAGAATCCTACTGACTGAGGTTTTATAGAGGACATATTTTACAGTGTCTCAGGCTTGGAGGTGCGTCTGCTAATGTCTGCAATCACCACAAAGGTATTTCTGCCCCCTCTTTAGAGTAAAAAGAAACAAAATGGATTTTAGAAAGTTAAGGGAAGAACGTGTTGTGGCTGACAACATAAAAACATCAAGTTTTAGCCATATGGCTCCAACAAAATTAGCCTGAGCAAATCCCTAAATAAGAAACAGAATTATAGCAACTTATTGGCTCTCTCAGTGAGAATCACAAGCCAAATCTTGCAGCTCTTACTCCAGATGAGATGGTTTGTGGGTCTGGCAGGGTCTCTCTCCTGCCCCCATCCCTGCAAATATGCACTCCCAGCAGTCAGGGTCCCCATGCTCCAGAGATTGCTTCTTCTGTGAGTCCTCAGGAGTGCGACCACTCTAGAGTGAGTAGAGAGAAGGGAGGGATCATGTCCCCGCAACTCCGGCCTGAATGTGCCAGGGGAGGCAGAAGAGAACAAGCTGCACTCTCCGGCAAAAGCAGACAGCTAGCAAGACCTATCTGCGTGCAAAGGATCAATTGTGCTTCCCTCTTCCATTAGGCAAACAAGCTGGCCTTTCACATACTATGCAAGCAAGGCTTCCAATGAAGTCGATGGGAGTTTTGCCTGAGTAAGGATTGTGGGATTCAGGCCGTTCTTGCTAATCGTGCTGGACAACTATACTGCCATTCATCTTCAGCAGAATCAGCCACTGGCTCTTTAGCTGGGAATTCTCTCCCTCCTAAGCATCCCCGTGGTCCAGACGACACGTATATATAACTTTCCCCACACCAAACAGCAAGGTCTCCCCTGGGCTGTTTTCAGAAGCCATAAACCAACTCTGTGGGTGAGAGACCAGACCTGCAAACAGCTTTACAATCCAACCTCGGGTCCTCTCCCCCTGAAGAATGCGAACACTGTGCTAGCACACAAGTGGGAAATTCATACGCCAGCTCCCGTTCTAAAAGTGGCCTCTGCTGGCAACGCTGCCAGTGAAACATCCAATGGAAATACACTTCTGGTGTCATCCCAGCACCATGCCGGCTGCATGAATGGAATAGTCTGAATAATCATTTCAGAAAGAAAGAACTTTCTGCTCTGTGCAGCACCTTTGGTTTGGCCGCCACTTCCCTCCTTAAATAGGTGGTTTTGTGGTTAAGAGAAGGAAGAGAATCCCGTTTTTGTGCGTCTGTGAGGAAAAGTGCTGCTTTCCCCTCCTCCCCCAATATGCAGCTACTGTCTGTACAGTGGACATACACTATCTACCATTATTCTCCCCATGGAGAATTTTCTCCCAACCTCCTACAAAGCACGAACAAACATCTCCCAGTCTAAAGAGACACACGGACATCATCTTTGACAAGAAGAGCAAAAGTGACTCGTGATTTTGGGTTCCCAACAGGGGCACTTGAACGAGCCTGATTTTCACAAAATGCTGAGCCTTCCCCTATGTCTAGGCTACATCCCGCTTTTGAAAGAGGGATGTAAATTAGGCAGATTGAAATTTGCAAATGAAGCCGGGATTTGAATTTCCCATGCTTCATTTGCATAATGGCAGCCACATGTTCTTTCGAAAAAGGGTATTTTGAAAGCAAAACCGCTGTCTAGACAAAGATCCTGTGCTCCTCAAAAAATTAGGGTTTTTTTCCCCCGGAAAGAACCATATCTAGATAGCGGTTTCACTTTTGAAATACCCCTTTTCAAAAGAACATGCGTCCGCCATTATGCATTCAAGGGTAGGAAATTCAAATCCCAGCTTCATTTGCAATTTTGATCTAATTTACATCCCTCTTTCGAAAAAGGGATGTAGTCTAGACATGCCATTCGAAACAAAGCAGGGTACAATGTCTTTGTGCTTCTCTGTGCTTCTTTAGTTTTCTCTTGTGAATATAGTTTAATTGACCCATCTGCTTCACTCCTGTCTCAGGAGGAGACAGTGTTTTTCCAGTCATAGCCCCCAGTTACTGCACTGTTGCTCACCGCAGGAAAACCCCCAAAGGAAAAACAGTCGTCGATATAAAGGCTGAATTCAGCCTCTCATCAGTCAGTAATGATGGAGCATGGCTAAAAAACTACTAAAAAACTTCACCCTCCAGCTCCGTGAAGCTTAAGACCATCCCCAGTGATGTCCTTAAACACAGCTCTGTCATTTGCTATATTAAGGACTGTTGATGAAGCATACATTGTTTACAGATTTTACTCATTTGTTTTCCATGACCCAGAGCATAACAACATTGCAGACAAGAAATGAAAGCAAACTCAGAGCTCCATGCATTAAGGGAAAACCTGTGTTTACTAGTCTGTGCACTGCATTCATTGCCAACCTTACAAAAGACCGTTAGAGCAAGTGTCACAGGAGTGTGATGTCTGAGCAGGGGGTCAGAGAGAAGGTGTCTAACTGGATATTCCATTCAATAATTCTGTTTCTTCATGCCACAGACGAGGATTCAGCAAAGCACTTGATCCTGTGCTTACTCTGGCACATGTTCGGAGAGCCACTGAAATCAGCACATCAAGCTAAGCACATGCTTACACTCAGACATGTGCTTAGACCAGCCAGGATCAAGGAAGACAATGAAAACTTCACCATCTTACTTCAGACTAATGTCTTCTCAATATTTTACTTCTGATCTTATCAACAGCAAATTCCGTTAAAAAAAAAAACCAAACTTTTGCTAATATATAAAAGCCCAAGAGCTCATTAGGCAAATCATGCCACAAATACTGAATACTAGGCAACCATGATAAAAATGTGGAAGCCTAATTTACACAAAAACTTTTTTGCACAGCTGGGCAGCGCTAAGAAGCCTGAAAATGAGCATAAATGTTAAAGCAGCAAAGAGAGACAGGTTTGAAAATGGCTGTAAATGAGAATCAGCCAAAGATTATTTTAAGTATCCAATTATCTTAAAATATGATTTGTTTTATGCTGCTTTAAAGTAACACCAAACTTTACTATCAAAACTGTTAGAGACTTCCCCACCATCCTTTTAAACTGTGCAGTCCTGCAGATGTGGATATTCCTAGCTCAATTTTGTCGATATGGATGTGGATACAATTTTTTTTATCTGGAACCCTGTAAATCCGCAGATATCTGCTTTGCATCCATAGATGTGGATATCCATGGATTATTTTTGCAGATGTAAATGTGGATACTAATTTTGTATCTATGCAGGGCTCTACAGATAACACCAACCACTACAATGAAGTCCAGATGATGCACACTAGAAGGATAAAATTTGGAGCTTTATGTCACCATACGATATAGACAGAAGAGAAAACATATTATAAACACATTTTTCCCAGTCCTTCTTCATTTTTATGTTGGAGCAAATCCATAGTTATAAAGTGAATGTCTAGCCTGATCAATTGCTCGTCTCTTAAAATGCGCATCACAGAGCATCCAGAATGTGCAATGCAGCCAAGCGAACACTGCTGATGGGCCTGTAATGGAAAGGTAGGCATTGGGATTTCAGCTGTGCACAAATGCAGGGTTTCATACTGAATAGGCTTTAGAGAAAGAGCAGGTGGTCACAGATAGGCCTGGCAGCCCCTGTACTGAAGGTCCCAAAAGCAGAGGAACCACTTGCTCTCCATAGTGCAGACAGCAGGAAGGCTGCTTGGAAGAAGCGTGTATCTAAACACAGAGGGGCTGCGAGTGGAATGGCGCAGGCCGTGAGCGGCTCTCAGCAGCCCGGCCCTGAGAGCGGCTGACCTGAGCAGTTCCAGGCTCCGTCCCTGACAGG